TAACAGTAATTGTTCGATAACATTTAAAGAGAACTGATGCTGTCATAATAATAGTTGCTATAGTAATGGCTAGTTAATATATATAGGTTGTCATAGTAATAGCCAATTACCCCATTATGTTCAAAATCTTCATGCAGAAACAAAAGTTAGAAAATAAATGAAATGTAAGGATATTTCAGTTTGAAAAGCTGAGTCATCCTTATCCTTCATTGAAAATATTGAAAATGGGTGAATTCTTAAATTAGTGATTCAACGGAGTCTTTTATCATCTTAACGAAAAGACTTTATCATAGTATTTGTTTGTAATTAAGCACAAAGCTACACAATGGACTATCTGTGCTCTTCCAACCACGGGTATCGAAACGCAGACGTTATTGTAGATTTCAACATAAGGTGTCGCGACTCCTTTAACTTAACTGTGCTTATTAAAATCTTGAAAAATTGATATTAGGAGGCTAATTGAACTGAAGTGTTTGTTGTCTTGAAATGTATATTATTATTTTAATTTAAGTAACTTAACAGGCATGGCAAAATATGTCTTGAGGTAGAAAATGTCTCTGTATTAATTAAATTAACTTTAAAGAAGTTATAAAAGTACACGTTTTTCTGAGAACTTTAAAAAAAATGTAAATCGGTAAAAGCTAATAATGTTCACACTCAACGAAAATAATTTGTAGATTTGTAAGATTACTGGTTGGCAAGAATTACCCAATTAACGCAACCTGAAAGAAGAGTAATTTATTTGGCATGTTTTCCATGTAACAATGTCCTAAAATTAATCACTCTTAAGTAACAATGGACTAAAATTAATCACTCTTAAGTAGTTCCTTGAGATAATTAGTTTTGTTTGTTTGTTTTGAATTTCGCGCAAAGCTACACAAGGGCTATCTGCGCTAGCCGTCCCTAATTGAGCAGTGGAAAGGCAGCTAGTCATCACCACCCGCCGCCCACTCTTGGGCTATTCTTTTACCAACGAATAGTGGGATTGACCGTTACATTGTAACACCCCTACGGCTGAAAGGGCGAGCATGTTTGGTAGGACGGGGATTCGAACCCGCGACCCTCAGATTGCGAGTCGAGTGCCCTAACCACCTGGCAATGCCGTGCCGAGATAAGTAGTGAGTTGGGTTGTTATTAAAAGGTTAGAGAAAGGGGTACTCGGCCCTGATGCTAGCATATAAAGAAACTGGTCTTTGACAATGACAATCTAGCTCATATTAAGTGGAACGATGTAAATCAACCAGTTGGTAACGACATTCTTCTGTTTTTGCACTCCCCCCCTCCCCTCGGTGGCTCACTGGCAGGTCTGAGTGCTACTTAACGCTAAAATTCGGGTTTCGATACTCATGTTTGTCATAAAAGAGATAGCACATTGTGTAGCTTTTTTGTTTAACAACAAATAAACATCTTTTCGTTTAGTTTTTAAATGTTTTTCCGGAAATTTACTTTTTACTCTAGGAGGAAAATACCTCTATGTCGAGAAAGAATGAAGACTGAGTAATGAAAGAACTAAAAGATAATTTGACAACAAATCGTAAAATATTTTTTTTATATATATATACTCATTCATTACTCTCGTGAAAATACGTATATTACAAGCAACAAATCTAGTATTTTCTACGTTTATCTCTAGAAACACTAGTGGTAACATTTTAAACTGGGTTACGCAAAAACCTTTTTAAAATATTTTGGTATGACGAGCATCAAATTACTCCCATTTTACTATCTATAAATAAATGCATTAGTGAAACGTTCGGATGATTAAGAATATCAAAAGGGGTAGGATTTATTTTTGTAAAAGTTCATCCACAATTACCATGTGTTCTGCCTACCAATCGAAATAGATGGGACTATTGTATTCATTACCACTCTCTCCCGTTACTCCTACCCACTAAAAAGTTAATGAGGATGTTTTAATATTAGTAATATAACGACAAATTGATTATTTTTCTTTAAATGGATCTTCAACGTTTCGCTTTACAGCTTATTCAGGAGCATTCTACCAAAATACAAACGATCGCATACTATTATGACTTTTTTAGCGTTGACACATAAACAAATTACGAAATGGTGGACAAGTAATCCAATTTGAAATTAATTAATTTTCTAGAAATTACATTACCTTAAATCAACTGAAG